GTTACTGTCTCGAGAAAATGTCTCGAGATTTGATCCCTCCTTCTATTTGATACCCTCACAAAATAAAACAAATTATTAGTACAAAATATTTAATCCAATAATTAAATTTAAAATGGCAAAATATAAAAAATATTTTTACCTTCTAATAACTATAACAAATCTACTTAGCTTGATAGAGAAAAATAGAAGGAATAATATGAAATTAAAGTTTGGTGTGATTTTATGTTTATTAACGATGCTATTTATAGGGGAGGGTGAGTGGTTCGGGGTTTGGGTAATGATGGAGTACCAAATAATTCAATAATGGGAGGCGCGGATCACATGAGTGTTAGAACCCCAGGAATACGTGGATGGTGATCTGCGCTTTACCCTACGTGGCCCAACTTGGACACCATCCACGCCTTTTTGCCACGTTGTCTCAAGGGTGCTATATCGGTAAAATTAGGACGATCGATGACAAGTAATTATTTAATGGTTGGGTAATTTTTGGGTAAAAACACTTGTAGTGTCAGGGGAAAAATTTCCTATATAAGACTCTTGTCATATTATTTTTTAATATAGGATGGTTATTATAGTGTAATGGAGATAATGTTAAAAACACTATACAACTTTAATTTTTGGGTGGAAGATACATAATAATCCATACGTTTTCAATTTTACCAAAGCTAAAAACGCATAGTAATCTTAGAGTCTTTAAGCGAAGATTCCATGTAGTCATGAAGTCATCAAGTGAAGACTATGCACTCTTGGAGTCTTCTAAAATACTGTTCATTTTGGCCTAATCCAGGAAATAATGTTGGAGGTGGATTACTTTGATAAATGTTTTTTTTCAAAGACATTATTTCAACCATTTCCTTCTTTTTTAATATATATAAGGTATGATCACATCATATAATGTAAAACTCTTTTAGTTTTATATAAATTTAGAATCGTTAGATGAGAACATATAAATGACTGGGATTAATAGTAGAAAAATAAGAATATATAAGTCACATACTAATATATCAATTTAATTAAGAAATATAATATATTATTTAAGGAAGGATAATATATTATATTAAATTATTAAATTAAAATTGTTTAAAATTATACTTTTTATTACCTGATTTAATTACCCTTTGTTTTCAATATATATATATATATATATATCTATATATATATAAGAATAAGAGGTTTTCATTACTTTTAATTAATATTAAATTTTGTCGTGAATTTTAATTTAAAATTGTTTGAGGATACAATGAAACGTAGGAAACATTTTATTTGAAATTAAAGTTAAAATAATTAAAATCCAAGTGACAAGATTGAATAAAAACAAGTTTAATATTATGATCAACGGTCTTGATCTGCTCACATCATTAATTTGAAACATTATTGTAAGTTTGTAACCATGGTCCATCCATGCGTGTCCACTGCGTGTGTGCCGCGTACAATATTCTTTTCTACTTTTGCGAACTTCAATAAAACATTCAATTCTATTTTTCAATAAATTCATTTTAAAATGGGTAAATTTCAAATTGTATCAACTTTCTTTTCATTCTTATTTTTCACTCAAATTTAAAATTTTAATTTAATCATTAAACTTTCAGTTTGTTGTTTTAATCATTAAATAATTATGATATTATGAATGGAAATTTATCTTTTAAAATTATTAAATGATCCCTAAACATTTTAATTTTTATAAAAAATCTCAAAAGTATTCTATGTTGATCCCTAAACATTTATCGTTAAATTCTTCTTCAAAATCTCGAAAATGAGGAGGTGTAGAAGGATGACGCGAACTGTATATATTGATTCTATGTTGATCAGACAATGAATCTTATAGATAAAAGTGGTTTGAGATTTCAAAAGTTTTAAGTTTTTTTGTTGAATTTCACGAGTTTTAAAGTGATTTTAACAAATTTAAACTGATAGAGTGATAAGGTACATGAAACGAGTTTTTTAATGTCTTGAATGATAGTAGTAAGCGTCGAAGGACAATGATTCTAACATTGATGTGATATAAATGAAACTATAAACTTTCATCTTTAGAGAAAAAAATAAAATAAAAAATAAAACTTTCATGTCACATTTACTTTAGATTTAATTCTCTAGAAATAAATTAAAAGTTTAGTGATTAAATTGAAATTCTAGTCACCAAAAAAAAAAAGTCAAAGTTGAGTGATGGTATTTGTGATTTTCCATTTAAAAATATGTAGCTTTCTCGACCACGGTTTAGACTTTAGACCTTTCTTTTTCCCAGCAACCATAATCAAACGCGGTCCGAAAATCCCGAATAAATGGCATTTCCTTTCAACAGGGCTTCGTCGTCTATCTCAATTCTTCCAAAATTCTCTCCTTAATAAGTTCAATTTTAATCTAAACTTGATTTATTTCTTCTGCAATTATGATATTCGATTTGAGACTGCCCGCCACCGATTCGACTCCGTGACAAATATCGGCCGTTCGATTTTCTCATGTGCACGCCATGGAATCTCCGAACTATGTATCCGCTTCGCACGAGCTGGAGCTGGAGTCGTTTCAAAGGCACGTTGCCGACAGATTTCACGATTTATTTTGTTCCTTCCGATGAATTGCTTTCTCTTCAGTGGGTTCGAAAATTGCTCGACGTTTTCCTTTGTTGTCTAGAAGAATTTCGGGTCATCCATTTTAACAACAAAGCTCAACTGACCAAAGCTCCCATGGACCGTTGATTGGCGATTTTTACGAGCGTAGTGTTAAGGCTCTTGATGTTTGTAATGCGGTTCAAGAAGGAATAGAACAGATCAGGCAGTGGCAGAAGCTTCTTGAAATCGTGCTATGCACTTTGGGTGATAGTAAAGTTAATAATAATACGAATGCCAACGGTAGTGAAAATTGCTTTCGGAGAAGTTTAGGTGAATGGCATTTCGTCGCGTGAAAAAGGCGTTGATAGATTTAGCAATTATGAGCTTGATGAGAAGGATTCCGGTCGAGCTTTGGCTCATCGGAATCGTTCTTTCGGAAGAAACAATAATAGCAGCAGTTACTCCAAGGGTCATTTCAGGTCGTTGTCTTGGAGTGTTTCGAGGTCTTGGTCTGCGGCTAGACAGCTCCAGGCTATTGGAACAACTTGACTGTGCCGCGAGGGAATGAGGTGACTACCAATGGACTTGCAATCCCTGTTTACACAATGGACTTGCAATCCCTGTTTACACAATGGGTTGTGTTTGTTGTTTGTAATGTGGGTGTTGGTAGCTGCAATTCCATGCCAGGATCGCGGTTTGCAGGTTCGTTTTTATGTGCCCAGGCAGTTTTCGTGGGCGGCTCCAATGCTTTCGCTACACGATCGGATTATGGAGGAGTCGAAGAAGAGAGATAGGAAAAGTTCTTGTGGATTGTTGAGGGAGATTTATCAAGTCGAGAAGTGTTCACAATTGTTGGGTGAGCTTGCTGACTGTTCAGCTTCCGTTGAGTGAGGAGAAGGAAGTGAAGGTTAGGGAAAGAGTGAAAGAATTGAGACACATTGCAATGCAATGAAGGAAGGTTTAGAACCGTTGGAAAGCCAAGTTAGGGGTCCTGCTGTTGATGTCCAACCTTATGTTAGTATGTGTAATCAAATTTCTCAGTAAATTTGCATCTTGGTTCTGTAGTTAATTTTTGTTCAAATTTTTTTCTAATTGTCAATGGTATATAGATGTTGGGTGTTTTATTATACTCTACAGTGCATTTTAGATACAATAATAAGATGACTGCTTATGACTGGGAGTGTTCAATTTTATGCTAAGTTTTTTGCCAAAGCTGTAAGTATTGGATGAAATGTGAAATTTGTATGCATTCTTATGGAAGTACTATCTTTTCGCTCTATCGGGCATATAACTTGTATGCATACTCATTGAATATATCTGTTCCTCATATTTTCTTTTTGGTTTCCCAGTGTGTTTGAAAGCTTCGGTTTACGTTATTTTATTCCTCTGGTATTGCTTTAAAGCAGAATTTTATTGTTCTTGCAGGTATTGCTGAAAGCAATTACCAGTTTTAAAGAAGGAAAGGGATTGATGAATTTGTGGATTATCCATGTATGTTATGAATGGTGAGCCTACTTTTAAACACAGTGAGTAATGCAACGTGTCAGTGTTTGTTGTATCCAGTAGTAGAGTGATGATTGATGTTACTGTTGGATGTATGTGGTTTAGACATCATGTATTCCGCATTTAACTGATTAAAACAATAGCTCTTGTGGCTCTCTCCCTCTGCTTTGTCCCATTTCTTGATAATATGAGAAATGAAATGGCATGGTTGGTGGAATATAACATCTGCATACTCCAGAGGAACCAAATTCAACTCCTCCTCCTTTTGCTACCTACCAAATGGGCGTTGCTGCCAGCACACTCTGCTTTGCAACACTTCAAAGTATGTATAAAGTCTCTGTTATGAATGAAGAGAATAGAAAAGGAAAAATCGAAGGAATAAAGGTTTTAGAAGAAGAAAAGCAGAGAGATTTCAGAAATCAGAATTTCATTCATTCATCAGGTAACTTTCTCATTCCTTAGTACACAGTTTTATTTGATTACAATGTACTATAGCAAATAGGAAGAGGACAGCTGTATAACTAATTCTCTAACAAACTCCTTGCAACTGAATATTTTTCTCCTTTGGGTTGATAACTGGATCCACGTCTGAGCCCATCTCCTCTGCCCAACTCTTTCTGCTGCAACTCCAGGTAATTTCCTTCAGCCCTCTCATTAGAGATTGAAATCCCTAATTCCCTTATCTCTTTTCTCCTAATCCCTAATTCCTCGTCCATTTCCCCCAATTCTCTCGCTTCAATTCTAATCTCCTCGTCTGATCTTCTCTTGCAACCAGGACAATACCCCTCCATCATCAGATCCTTGTCCCCAAGGATCGAATTCAGGAAACTGGGCACGCAAGACTGTAATCTTCCAGGTATCGTTTTCAGCACTTAAATTTGTCCAACAAACCAATAATTGAGTAACAGCACGATTATCTCGTTTGACAATTCGTTTTCTTAAAATTTCGCAGGAAATACTTTAAGTTGACCATCAACTATTACCTGAGGAGGGTCTAATGAAGCCACTGTCTTCTCTCCCAGTTTCCGCATCAAGAGACTGACATGGAAAACAGGGTGTATTTGAGCAGTTTCTGGTAAGTCCAATTTATAAGCAACCTCACCAATCTTTTCAAGAATTTGTAAGGGTCATAAAAACGAGCTGCTAACTTCAAATTTTTTCTGATTGCCAGGGAAGTTTGCGATATGGTTGCAGTTTCAGGTACACCTCTTCTCCCACATCAAATGTTCTTTCACTGCGATTTTATCAGCTTGCTGTTTCATACGGTTCTGGGCTTGCTGTAACTGGTCTCTAACAATTTGTATGATCTGCTCTCTGTCTTGTAATAAGTCTGAACACTGTTAACATTAGATTCAGAACACCATAACATTGTAGGAGGTTTATATCCATAGAGTGCCTCAAAAGGGGTAATTTTAGTGTTGTATGATAGTTTGTATTGTACCACCATTCAGCATGAGGAACCATCTTGCCCATGAGTAGGTTTTAGGAAACACAAACCCCTTAAGTACTGCTCAAGACATTGATTCACTCTCTCAGTTTGACCATCCGTTCAGGATGGTAAGCTGTAAAGAGTGTGCTGGTTCCCAACTGCTTCATTAGTTCTTTCCAAAAAAGACTAGTGAAGGTCTTGTCACGATCTGAAATGGCCATCGTAGGCTGACCATGAAGCTTATAAACTTGTTCTAAATATAATTTAGCTACTTCCATAACAGTGTAGGGATGAGAAAGTGCTAAAAAATGAGCATATTTAGTCAGTTTATCCACTACTACTAAAATGCAATTCTTATGCAAAGAATTAGGTAAACTCCAATAAAATCCATAGTTATCACCTCCATGCTTGTTGAGGAATTGGAATTGGTTGTAGCAGCCCAGGTTTAGCCACATGCTCCACCTTAGTGCGTTGGCAGACTTCACATTTCTGTACATAATTAGAGACCATGGTTTTAAGTTTAGGCCAATAAAAAATAAGATTTCACCCGGTATGTAGCCTGAATACCCGAATGCCCTCCATGAGGAGAATCATGTAAAATCTGTAGTATCTGCAATCGTAAATCACAGGCCTTTTCCACATAAACTCTATTTTGTAACGCAACACCTCTTTTGAATACTTTCCAATTTGGAACACTAGCAGTGTTAATAGTTACTGCTTGAATGTATTCTTTAGCATCAGCATCATTTTCATAGCTTTGTTCAATGTCCTTAACCCAAGCCGGAATTATAATCATGGCACCCATCTTTTAACACTCACCACCTGCACAAATTGTCTTGACAAAGCATCGGCACACATTATTACGCCCTTTTCGATATTGAATTGTGTAGTCCAAACCCAACAATTTAGTCAATCCTTTCTTCTGAATGTTGTTGTGAGTTTCTGCTCTAACAAATACTTCAAAGGCTTGTGGTCTGTTTTAATGATACGGACACACTCAAGATAATGTCACCATTTCCAAACTGCCAAAAGAATAGCCAAATATTCTTCTCATAAATAGAAAGGTCCACGTTTTTAGGGCTTAAAGCTTTGCTAAGATAGGCCGAAGGACGACCTCCTTGGGAAAACACCCCAATACCTTCTGAGCTTGCATCAGTTTCTAAACAAAATTCTTTAGTAAAATCAGGAAGAGCCAAAACTGGAGCCTTACACATTACTTCCTTCAATTGATTAAAGGTTGTCAATGTTGTAGGAGTCCATATAAAACCTTCTTTTTTAACATCATTGTAAGTGGTCGACTAATTGCACATAGCCTTTGATGAGCCTTCTATAATAGCCTGTTAGCCCCAAAAATCTCCGAGAGATTTTAAGTTTTGAGGAATTGGCCAATTTTTCATAGCAGCAATTTTTGATGGATCAGTGGAAACCCCTTGAGCATTAATAATATGGCCTAAATATTCCACTTGTGGTTGACCAAAAATAACATTTATCCTCTTAGCATATAGCTGATGTTGTGTCAATATTTCCAAAACTCTTCTCAAGTGTAGTGCATGAGCAGACAATGTAGTGTTGTACACTAATATATCATCAAAAAATACCAGAACAAACTTTCGCAAATAGGGAGTGAATAGATCATTCATAAGAGATTGAAATGTAGCAGGGCATTAGTAAGACCAAAGGGCTTACCTTGAATTCAAAATGTCCATGATGAGTGCGAAAGGCGTTTTGTAGATGTCTGTTTACCTTGAATTCAAAATGTCCATGATGAGTGCGAAAGGCAGTTTTGTAGATGTCTGTAGGCTGAATTCGAATCTGCAGTAACCAGAACGTAAGTCCAACTTAGAAAAATAGGCTGCTCCATGTAATTCATCTAATAAATCCTCCACCACTTGTATTGGAAACTTATTTTTACTGTCTGGTTGTTTAATTGTCTATAATCGACGCAAAATCTCCAAGAACCATCTTTTTTCTTAACAAGTAAGCAAGGTGAGGCAAAAGGGCTCTTGCTTGCTTGAAGACAGAAGCTGCTAGCATATCAGAAATTGTCTTTCCACTCTGCTTTTTGATGATGTGGAAATCTTAAGGCCGCAAATTGACCGGGGCTGCACCCAGTTTAAGTGTAATTGAATGCCGCAAATTGACCGGGGGCTGCACCCAGTTTAAGTGTAATTGAATGGGTCATGTACTCGTTTAGGAGGTAATCCTTTAGGTTCATCAAAAACTCCTGCAAATTCTGCTAATAATGGTTATAGCATGAGGTACCTGCTGCTCATCAGTTTCCATAGTTAGGAAATAAATTTCTCCCAATAAATATGGATCCTTGGCAGTAATCTTTTGCATTTTGTCATTAGAAACTGTTTCATAAGGAATGGTGCTTGATGTCCTTGAAGATAGTTGTTGTCCCTCCTTCTCAAAAGTAATAGTCATGGCATTAAAATCCATAAGGATTGGACTATATTTGCGCATCCAATCAACTCCAAGAACCATATCACTGCCCCCAGATTAAGTACCCGAAAATCATGAAAAAACTGATGGCCTTGCATAATCCAACATAATGATTGCTCTTGGCTGAACTGAATAATTTCTCACCATTAGCAACTGTAATGGCTAGTGGTTGAGTTGAAACTAACTCAGTACCAGCTTTAGCCCACTTAGGAGTGGTAAAGCTGTGTGTGCTGCCACTGTCAATAAGAATATTGAGAGGTTTGCCCTTGACCAAGCCTTGAATTCAATTGTAGTATATCCTGTGAGAGCATTAACTGAAATTCCAGATTCTCATCTTTATCATTTGAATCTCCAAAACCTCATCTGTTATGACTGCATCTTCCTGGTTATCCACTTCCTCCATAGCATTCAATTGTCTTAACTTGCATTGGTGGCCTGGTTGAAATCGTTCACCACATTTGTAACACAAATATTCAATCTGCGATACTCCAGCAAATTGTTCTTGTTAGGAGGATTTGGTAGAACTTTCTGTGTTGTTGTAATAGCAGCAGGTCTGTTAAAATTTGTTTGGGTGGGATAGGGTGAGAATCTTGAATTCTGTTTCTGTCTTTTGCTTTCAAACTCCATTGAAATCTCATATAATTTGCATGCCTGCAAGCTTCAGTGACTTCTTAGGATTAAGAGCTTTGACCCTATGTTTCAACTCCTCCTTCAGTCCACTATGAAAATGGACACAAAAAATTCCCCCAAGGTTGGGTTCTGCATTAGAATGAAAGGTTTCAGCTCTTCAAACCTACTTGGTATTCTTCCTCTGTTCCTTTTGAATTAGCTTACTAAATTCCTCTATGACATCTGCATACTGCATATCACCAAATCGATGACATAAGTCTGCTTCGAAACTCATGCCAATGTACTCGATTTTTTTGCATGATATAACCATCAAACCATGATTCAGCTTTTTCCTCTAAATACATGGCATCTAACTCAACTTTTTGCTCTTCAGGAATTCCAAAGAGATGAAAGAACTTATGACATTTTTGCACCCAACCCTTGGATTAGTTCCATCAAAATTCTTTAGCTCTACTTAGGCCTAGGAAGTATAAATCCAGTGTTTCCTATTGCCCCTCCCTGAACCATTTTGTCCCCATTATTATCCTTGTTTGATTTTCCATCCATATTTCATTGATCCATTGCAACTCATAGGGTTTAGATTTGAGGATATGGTTCATCCATATTGTACGAGAATCTGGACTTATCATTAATCACTGTCACCATCACCGGTTTCTTTCCATCAACCTTAGTTGGAGGTGTAGCAGTCTGCTCCTTTTCTGAGCTTGCCATGTCTTGCTCATCATTCCCCGTTAATATTCGTAGGACTTGTTCTATATAGGCTTGATTGGTGTTCATCTTCGATTCTAGACTGTTAGACGGTTGTTTTGCTCTTCCACCATTTTGGAGGTTTTGTTTCATCACTGACATTTTCTACCCTTTTTGATAAATCTTCAATCTGCTGCTGAATGGCAGTAAGTTCAGCCGACTCTGCCATTGCTTGATTCTTTCTCTGTTTTCCCCAGTTGCTAATGCCAGGAAATTAGGCTCTGTATACCAATTGTTATGAACTGAAGAGAATAGAAAAGGAAAAATTGAAGGAATAAAGGTTTTAGAAGAAGAAAAGCAGAGAGATTTCAGAAATCAGAATTTCATTCATCATCAGGTATCTTTCTCATTCCTTAGTACACAGTTTTATTTGATTACAATGTACTATAGCAAATAGGAAGAGGACAGCTGTATAACTAATTCTAACAAACTCCTTGCAGCTGAATATTTTCCTCCTTTGGGTTGATAACTGGATCCACGTCTGAGCCCATCTCCTGCCCAACTCTTCTGTTGCAAACTCCAGGTAATTTCCTTCAGCCCTCTCATTAGAGATTGAAATCCCTAATTCCCTATCTCTTTCTCCCAATCCTAATTCCTCGTCCATTTCCCCAATTCCCTCGCTTCAATTCTATCTCCTCGTCTGGTCTCTCTTGCAACCGTGACAGTCTCAACTTCAATCCCTAGAAGCTTTTTTTTTGTTTTGCAGTGGTAATTTTTTTTAATCCTTTATTCTTTAATTTTGAAATAGTTTAGTTTATAATATTTGATTATTATCGAAGTGGGTGACTGTATTTTGAAAATTTTAGTTCAGATGGCAAAACTATAAGTCAAACATACTAAAAGCCATGCATGCAGGCAACTTACAAAAACATTCTCTTAAAAGAAACCAATGCTCATCGCATGTAGTTTCCAATAAACCCAATACTTCTTCTGTGTTCCAGTAATAATCCTACCCACCAACCTCATTGTTGAAAGCATCCACCCTTTCAAGATGATTGAAAACCCAAGCGGCTTCATTTCTGGTTTTCAGGCACGATAGGACTCATCAACTGAAACTATCGATCACTGCGAGTCTGATCTTCTTTGTCCAAGTACACTTTGTAACGAGTATTGTTATTCAATGACAAACCACCTTAGCCTCATAGTACAAACCCAAAAACCCTTCTTACTTGCTGCATACTTCAACTTTGTCTCCTTTAAAAAAACACCACATTCTTGAACGAACATTAAAGAAAAAATTAAAGAACAGCTTAGAAAAGTTTTTTGGAGAATAACACAATAAGAAAATGTGGGAAGACAACTGACTCAGGTTATCATTGGTCTGTCTAAAATGGAAAAAAAGGTTACAAAATGCTTGCAAAACTATCTTTTTCTTGCTCTGAGTAAGTCTTTCAGTCTCACCCTTGAAATCATTGGCATGGGCGGGAGTCTTACGGCCTTCCTTCCTGGTGTTTTACATGTTTCTTGGGCACCCTCGTTCAGTACCACTAAGTTATTTTTTAGCACTAATGTTTCTATTGTGACATGTTTAAGTTCATGAAAAGTGTTTGTATTATATGACTAAACTTCTCTTGTTTCTTAGATGCCAATATAGCTGTGAAAAGTATCTTATAACTGCAATATTAGTTCTTTGACTTGCATTCTCTCTTTGTTCTCTCTGAAAGGCCTTCTAACAGAAATGGTTTTAATCTGCAATAAGCACCTTGTAACAGGCTGCAAAGTCGTTTCTAGAAGTTTCATACTTCTTTGCTATTAGTAAGTAGTACGTAGTAAATCTGATTTCATTGATTGTCTTGTTGATTCCTCTATGTCTCTAGGTTATAATTTTTTTTACAACAGAATATTTGCTGCTAGTAATTCCAAGTTTGCTACACATTATTTCTCTTTGGAAATGCATGTTTTCTTTCTGCAAGTTAGCCAGCTTGGTTCAAGTATAAATGTCATCCGTCTATGGGTGGATTTTCTGTTGTCATCCTCTGACTAGTGGCTGAGCTGTATTACACACAAATAAAATTGCTATGGTCGAGTTCATAGCAAGTTGTTACTTTAAACTTCTATAATAGATGTATAAATTGGAATGGGGTCAATGTCTTTTCCGCTGGAATAAGTTGTACTTCAATATGTGTTTGCATGCAACTTAAATAATTTTTTGTTAGTTGTCTTGGCTGCATGATGGCCTGGGATTATTCAATGACGACACCTTAGCCTCATAGTACAAACTACAAACCCAAAAAACCCTTCTTACTTGCTGCATACTTCAACTTTGTCTCCTTTAAAAAACACCCCATTCTTGAAAGAACATTAAGACAAAATAATAAAGAACAGCTTAGAAAAGTTTTTTGCAGGAGAATAACACGAATAGAAAATATGTGAGAATACAATTGACTCAAAAAATTATGATTGGTCTATATAAAACGGAAAACAAGGTAGTTGAAATTGCTCCTATCGCATACTTCAGTAATAATGGATCAATATCTCATTTGCCAACTGGTTACATGTGGGAGTTCTCATCTTGTGCCTAAACCAAAAGGTTAGTGATGTGACATGTGCTTTTTAAAAGAATTTTCTCCTTAAGTGATGAAACTTTCCAAGGATAAGAAATACTTGAATCAACAAAGTAGTTAGGAATTTCTTCTTTCTCTTTCCTTTTATACACTTCAGTATGGTTATGTAGCAACTTGTATCTGCGGTAATGCAAAGTGATGGTTCTTTTTATCTTTCCGTGCTCTTCTCATATACTTCTTCTATGTTAGTCATTCTAAAAGAAATCCTTTTTTCTTCCTCCTGTAACTTTAATGTTATTTTAACAAGTTTTTTTCCCTCTTTATTTGATATGGTTGATATAAAAACTTTTTTACTATTGGAATGTCATTCATTCTAATATTTTTTAAGAATCTTGTAGCTTAATGTGAAATAATTTGTAGATTGGGGTACTTGGTTGATGCTGTTGGTTACTGTTTTTTGAACTTGGGGTCAAAGAATCATCCTCGAGAAGAGTTTGTGCAGTGATTAAAAAAGGACCACAACCCATATATCGGATTTGGAAGCAGGGTATGGTATCTCTGAATCATGTTTGAAGTAAATTTTATGATTATCTTTCCTTTTCCTTAAAAGGAGTTATGAGATCTATGTCATGCTTTCCAAGGTTATTTCTAGTGGTTTGAAAAGTGATGATATAAAATCAACTGAATGAAACTTAAACTTTACCAGTTTATCCAAGCATTTATCTCAAAAAGTGTGTTGTGCATATGCACTGCCATCCTGCCTAATATTTTAAAGGAAAGATGCTTGATGAGCCTTAAATTCTGTTTGTTGGACTTTGACTTGTAGGGAATTGAATATATATCTTGTTTGTTGGACTTTGACTTGTATGGGAATTGAATATAATATCTTAGATGCGAATTCTGAGAATTGATAAAATATGTATCAACTAAATATCTAATGTTGATTCAGTTTCTAATTTGTGTATGATATTAAGCTCACTTTGATTATAGAGATCCTGAATTTCTCAAGTTAATACAATCGAAAGAGATCAGGGCTGAACTAAAATGACATGTCAAAATCATTTTCTTGAGGTTGAAGTCAAATGAGGATTCTTTTACTGATACACACTTCTTTACTTCTGAAAATTAGTACTGAAATTATCTATTATTGCCCGTGAAGCCTCTTGATGATTCCAAGAAAACAACAGATGTTATTTTAGAGGCATTAAATGACACAGGACAAAGAGGAATAATTGACCAGGGTTGGGGAGATCTAGGGCACTGTAAGTAACTTTTGCATGCCGTTCTGTTTTCCTCACCTTAATGTCTTGAGAGCTCATTTCTGGTTATAGAGGGTATTCATTTTTGTTGTGCTTTCACATTTTTTGTGGTATGTTGTTTTTTCGGTTTTGATCTTATTGTTTACTTTGTCAATGTAAGACCGGTTGTCATTAACTTCAATCAATTAATTGGAAATTGATGTTATAATCATTATTTAGATAAACATACTGATAAAAGAATGCTATGTTCTTACAAGTTCTTATCTGTGGAGGTTGTAATTAGCCCTATATATTATGGGACATGCACTAGTATTCAGAATGACAAGCAGATTTTCTATATTTTATTTGTCCTGCAGTTGCAGAAGTTACTGAGAATTTTCCTCCTGGAAGACTGCCCTCATGATTGGTTGTTTCCCCAATGTTCAGCTGTGGTAAGTATTCAATTAATTCGAATCTATTTTAGCTTAATTTGAAGGGATTCTTTGACATGCTTAGATGTTAAAAATTGCAAAATGATTGTGGGAGTTGAAAAAACTCAGATATCTGATGATAAGATAACCTGAATATAGCAAATGTGTCCAATGATGAAGAGTTCAAAATCCTTTCGATAATTATTTTGTGCCTGTTGAAAATGGTTCCGTAAATATGCACTAGCATCATGGTGGTGCTGGAACTACGGCCACTGGACTTAAAGCTGGGTAATATTTTCTTTTACTTTGCTTTTGTTATAAATAAATTTTTTTTTTTGCACTTCTAGTTTTGTTGATGTATTTGTTTTTGTTTGAATTATGACCTCTAGTTCTTAGTATACGTGATTGAGTGATACCTTGTTTCAAAGCTACCAAATTTAACCTTCTTATAGGATCTTATGTACTTGTAATTTAAATTGTGCTAATGAAAAATTTTGAATTATTAGTGTCCAATGACCATAGTGCCGTTCTTGGAGATCAATTCTTTTGGGGTGATAGAATACATCAGAGAGGGCTTGGACGTGCACCAATACCAATATCAGAGCTCAGTGTTGAGAAGTTTTCAAATGCTATCAGATTCATGCTCCAGCCAGAGGTAACTCAAGTAGCTTTCGTTTGCCTAATTTAATCTGATTCATTGCATTATCAAGCACTTGTCCGTGTAGAACCATCTCCCCATATTTGTAGTTGATGGATGCGAAGGTAAATATTCTATAATATTTGATTGCAAAAGGTTGTAATATTAGGATATATGAGAATAGTTATTTTTACCCTCAAAATTTCTCATTTAAAATTTACAGGTACTCTTTTGGCAAGCATCTAATTCTACATTGTTACTCGTGTACTGCTTTTGAAATTTGACCACCTATTTAATGTCAAGATGTTATAGCCGTTGCTTAAATACTACTCATTAGAACATTTGTAAGTATAATTTTCATAAAAACTTATATTGAGCATTAGCATGCTCCTCTGCTATAAAGAGACTCAAGATGAAAGTTATTGGATTTGCATTAGACTGCTGTAATCTTTCTTTATCTTTGTTTTTGGTAATTTCTCATCTACTTTTTTGATGCATGCATTATTGTTTCCTGAAAATATGAAAGAGTTGAAGTGCGAAATGAAGTGAAATGCTTCATGCAATTGAACTTGCCTTTGCCCAATTTGGTGAAGGCAAGCTCGAATCTGAACAAATATGTACAGAACGACAGCGTTTAAAAGTCCGCTTCTGTTTATGGAGAAAAATCATAAAACAAATGGCTTTGAAAGAGTTTTCTTTTTGATCCATTTGAACGATGATTTGAATCAGCTTACTCCAAGAAGCCTTCTTTGTTGGCGAATCATGATCATTCTTCCAACCGATGAGTTCATGACCAGTTGCATTGGATTCCATATCCACGTAGCATGTTTCTGATATGTGGAATCATACCTTCCATATGCGGTTGATAACATTGCTAGATTCAAGTTGAAGCTTTTCAATGGAACATGATTTCTGGCAGGTGAAATCCCATGCGATGGAGTTAGCAAAACTGATAGAAAACGAAGATGGCGTTGCTGCTGCGGTCGATGCATTTCACCGGCATTTACCTCCGGAGCTACCATTGCCTACTGCAGCGTTGGAGGGAATGATCATCCAAACCCTTTACAGTGGTTCTTTCTACAAATTGGAAAATTGTGCTGCCTGCCTTGTGGATTGTGGAAATCTTAAATTCTCTTAACCTTGTTACCACTTAGAAAGATTTTTTTCCCCATTATGTTCGTGGCAGAGAGAAGTTGAGAGTAGGGAAGGACATCGGTTTTAGATTTTTCCTATAGTGTGCAATGGCATTAGTCTTTCTTCTGTGACGATTTGTTTGTTTTCTTCTTGGGGGTCAGATCTTCTGCCACCATTTCGTTTGTTTCCCCCGTTTGTTGCTCAATTATGTTACTTTTTGGTCGTGAATTCTTGTTTTCTCAGTAGATTCCTTTCAAGTAGTTGTGATATTCGTAATCCACTAACATCGTTATTGGTGTAGTGCCATTTGCTATCAAATTTATAAACGGCCATATGATGTATTTTATAAGTTACTACAATGATTTATGGTTTTTGGCTCCCTCTTTTAAATAAATAAGCATCCAATAATTTAAATAATGTCCAATATGAGCACAAATTAAATCAGCCACGTGGACAAATAACTTTGTTATCAATCATCGGCGTTCGGGTTCATCGCAGCGCCACGTCACCGAATCTGAATCGTTATTGATCTGATACGACTCTGTTCATTAGGGAATCCATTGCCACCTCAAACCTATTAGGACATTCCGAGTCAAAACAAAAACACCCAAAAACTCACAACTCATCGGCCCTAATTACGATTCCACTGAATGATACCAAAGACCTGCGCCACACAAACACGAGATTATCGATTCACGTTCCTCGCTTTCGTATGTTTGTCTCCTTCCGGATTAAAAATTCGAAGCCCAAACACCAGATAACCTAACCTAACCCACTGGAATGTTTGTAATCAGGTTCTTCAAATTCTGGGGAAAATGGCGATCTCTGTTTCGGCATCAGCAGCTGTTCCTTCGCTTAATCCAAGAAGCTCAACTGGGTTATCCCTTATTATTGTTCTTCCAACTTATTTCTCCTCTTCTCTTCAACTTCAACCCATTCGAATGGTTAATAGATCAGTTTCCCCTCGCTGTCGTTCTTTGCAAGTAAACGCTTTTACACCTAGTTTCGTTGCTATTATGTAATAATTATCGGTTCCTGTGTTTGTCTCGTTGCATGAATTGAATGCGAACATCGATTTTTTTAGACTCGGTTACTTCATCTCAATAAAGCTAAGGTTAAGCCAATTTAGTGAAGGCTTATTGCTGTTTTCGATGTTTACGTTAAGTTGCAGGGTAAGTAGAAGATGTTTTGTAGAACAATAATTTTGACAAGTTTGGCGAAATGATTTCCATAGGTTGAAGCAAAGAAGCAAACATTTAAATCCTTGGATGATTTGTTGGCGAACTCCGACAAGCCTGTGTGGTTGACTTCTATGCGACCTGGTAAAATTTTCTTTTGAAAAAAACATACTTGAATGTGAGCCCTAATTCATGAATGTAGATTTTCTTTTGACGGATTGAAATTCTACGAGCGTAGGTCTGATTTTGTAGGTGTGGGCCTTGTCAATTCATGGTTCCAGTCCTCGATGAAGTGAGTGCTACTCTGAAAGATAAGATTCAGGTTGTGAAAATTGACACCGAGAAGTACCCCAGCATTGCTGATAAATATAAAATTCAAGGATTGCCCACTTTCATCATATTTAAAGATGGGAAGCCCTTTGATCGTTTTGTAAGTCTGATTAATCTGCTCACTTTAACATTTTCATCCTTACAACCTAAGCCAGTTTTATGAGGCGAAAGTCCAAAAGATTTTCATCCTTACAACCTAATTCTGTAAAACGAAAATGTTCTGACTGCTTACAACAGCCTCGGCTACAATGAAATTAAACAAAACTGAAGCTATCCTTTTATGCGTGTGATTTGTAAAATACCTTTGCCGTTTCATTATCAATGCCTTGGGATGCTTGTCCTATGTAGTTATTTGTGAAATTGTGAACCATTCAGGTCAATATATATGATCTTCCTTTCTCTCGTCTGGTTTATTTACACCAGGAACTCTCTTTTTTCGGCTTTTCGTATAGGCTGCATGTTATAACCAATAGAACTGGCATTTGTTGCTTGGGATAGGAGGTTCATTTTGTGTAATCCTTGCAGTTTATCCCACTCAGAGACTGCACCGATCATGAATTTCAATTTCCTCTTTGAACTAATTTCTGTTGTTTATAAATTCATGATCAAGTCATCTAGCTTTTAATCCAACTATTTTTGACTTGTTCGAGTTATGATCATCAGGAGGGTACATTGGGTGCTGAGCAGCTCATTCAACGCATTGAAACTTCGTTAAGTGTGATGCAATAGGCCCGGTGAGCCTCGGATATCTACTGAAAGAGACATGTTCCCTTGGATTAGAATACGGGTTTAGAGTATTGAAACTGGTGATGAACTCACAAGTCTTTTTTATAGATGATTTTGTTATATGCCATTGAAAAAATTCGTGTTTAATCAATAATCGGTTGACCATTAATTTGAAGATCATTCCTTGGAAGAAAAATGCAATAATATGATGATATTCAAGATGAGCTACCAGTTTCAAAGCTTTCACCGTCGCATATGACAATACGGAAGACTGATTACACTAATAAAAGACATTACTTTAGCACCCAAAAGCGCACACACTTGTTTGGTAATCACAATTGCATCTATTGACTACCACTCATCATAACCCACTATCAACAACTGTTAGCATAACCACTTGTGTAACATTTTCTTAAATTAGGGATGTTAAGGAAAGATAGTTTAATATAAGGCTAAAAAAAGGCACTACCGAAAATGTTAATATTTTTTTAATATTTTTGGTAGAGTGTTACCTTAAATGTTATTTTTTTTTATCGAAAATATTAATATCGGGGACAACTTAAATGTTATTTTTTTTGCCATAAATGTTAATATCATAAATATTCATTTTAGATAGTGAAATTAACATTTTCGATAGAAAAAAATAATTTTAGGTAGTGTTTTACTGAAAATGTTATAAAAATATTAAGATTTCCGGTAGCGTCTTTCCTTAACCTTGTATTAGGCGTACAGCAGAACTACCCGATAAATTATGTACTCATCATAAATGTAATGACATTAACTTGTTATTTCAAATCCATGTATTTTGATTTGAGAAAACACTTAATTTTGTAGACCACGAATCCATTAAGTGACATTAGTGTTAAGTATTGTTATTCTTAAAAATATGGTTCGAGTAGTTATCTGCAAGATGTTTGCTTTGTCTATGGTTAAGAAATATTTTGAACAAATACTACTTTGTAATCATACATGTTATTTTGAAAAAAATTGTATGTCAAGGGTTAATTAATAATCATCTCATGACTAAAAAGGGTGTCAATCCAAAAATTAATTAGAAAATGGTATTAAAAATGGGTATTGATTTTTTAGGGTGATAATTTAGGGAAAAAATCCTAAGAAATCTATTCACTAGTCAATTGAATTAAATTCAAGAAGCACAAGAAGCATTGCCCAACGAACCCAACTCATTTCTTTCCCACTATAAAACCAATCTATTTTATCCACTCTAGATTTCCTTTATCGCTGAAACATGCACCAAATGGCAAGCTCCGCTGTCAAGTTCATGACTTTGTTTCTGATTCTAATTCTATCCCATGTGGGATCAAGTTTGGCGACAGAGCACACAGTAGGTGACCAGCTTGGCTGGCGACCGCTCGTTAACTATTATAGTTGGGTTCGTAGCCAAGTCCATTAAGCTAGGCGACACTTTGGGTCTGTTTTTTCGCCATTCATTTTACGAAACACGTTATATTGTGTTATCTGCGAAACCTTATGCATAGTTTCTTTTCGTTCTGTTGATTGAATAGTGTTCAACATGATGCTACCAAAGATTATAGCGTGGCAGAGGTGACACAGTTTAAGTTCATCGCCTGCAAACGCAAGTGATGCTAAGTTCTTCGACAAGAGCGGGAACAGCACGGTGACCTGCTCGAGTCCGGCCAGCATTACTTCATGCTCAAGGCCATTGCTCGGATCAAATGGTGTTTCAGGCTGGTTTGAGGAGGAAGTTAAACAGACACTTCTTTGCATTATTACTTCAATAACATCTATTTCACGGCAATAATATTTTCAGTTTATAAAGTGATATTGAACTTTAACTATGGAACTTGTACGTTATAAAAAGTATTAATGAATTTACGTGCGTTATAATAAATAAATAATCTTTGCAACAAATTACTTTATATGTATGTAATTAGATAAAAAAATATTTATTTAAGATTCATTAATAGTTATTTTAAAAGAAAAATATTATTATATATTACCTTGTAAATTATTAACAAGATGCAATTATTTTTTTAGTTAATAAATAAATGTAGAAAAATTAATTATATTATAATCAATTAATGTAGTTCTTTGAGAGCTGCTCCAACGTGGGCTTTTATTATAAGTGATCTTTAACACTTCTAAAAAAAAATGAAATTCGTTTCTTAATATTTAGCCATCTCTTAAATACTCAATGGCTCTGAATGGGCTGAAATAGAGTGTTGAGTGCTGTGGGCTACCTTTACACTGCCACTTCAATGATTCCTAATCTCGCACTACGGCACAATTAAAGTCATAATCTTTCAAATCATTGTAAATTATATCATATCTAGGGAACGGTATGGGACTCGAACCAAACGGATTCTGATCCGATACTACGGCACAATTAAAGTCATAATCTTCAAATCATTGTAAATTATTATCATATCTAGGGAACGGTATGGACTCGAACCAAACGGATTCTGATCCGATATGATTTGATCGGGTAGATTTTTTATAAAAAAATAGAGTTCGGTCGATCGGTCATTTTAAGGTTAAGTTCAGCTGGATTTAGGATGAAAATACCCGACATGACCATATCGGCAAAAAAAATATAATTTTACCTTATATATTTAGAGATAATTACAATAATATCTCTCTATATTATTTTCTTTCAGTTAAATCTCTATTTTATTGAATAAAATAATATTTTTTAATAAATATATTATTTTGAGTTGGGTGTGTCGGATTTTATTGCAAAAA